TCTCTGCCACCCCCTCTGTGTCCTGCCTGTCCCTGTCCCCTCCGTGTCCCCTGCACCTCTCCCTGTCCCTCCTGGGGATGTCACCTGTCCTGTCCCCTGTCCCCTCCCGGTGTCCCCTGTCCCCTCCTAATGTCCCCTGTCCCCTCAGACCAAGATCAACGAGGACTTCACGGTGAAGGCGGAGGGCGTGGGCAAGGGGACAATGACAGTGGTGACAGTGTACCACGCCAAGGTCCCCGAGAAGGACAACAAATGTGACAAGTTCGACCTGAGCGTCAACGTGGAGGAGGTGGACACGGGTGAGTCCCCAACTGTCCCCTCGCTGTCCTCGCTGTGTCCCCTCCCCTCCCCCGAGCCACCCCCCCCGTGTGCTCCCCGTGTCACCTTCGATGTCCCCTCGTTGTCCCCACCCAGGCAAGGAAGAGGAGGACGTCATCAGATCTGTCAAGATCACCATCTGCACCAGGTGGGGACATTGGGGACGTTGGGGACGTTGGGGACAGGGAGGGGGTATTGGGGACAGGGACATCGGGGACAGGATGGGGACATTGGGGACAGGGAGGGGATGTTGGGGACAGGGACATCAGGGACAGGATGGGGACATTGGGGACAGCAAGGACAGGGAGGGGATGATGGGGACAGGGAGAGGAAGGGGACAATGGGGACATTGGGGACAGGGAAGGGATTTTGGGGGCGGGGACAGGATGGGGACATTGGGGACATTGGGGACAGGGAAGGGATTTTGGGGGCAGGGACGTCGGGGACAGGATGGGGACATTGGAGAAATTGGGGACAAGGACATCAGGACAAGGATGGGGACATTGGGGACAGCAGGGACAGGGAGGGGACATTGGGGACAGGGAGAGGAAGGGGAGGGAGGGACATTGGGGACAAGGATTAAAATGGAGACATTGGGGACAGGGACATCAGGGACAGGATGGGGACATTGGGGACAGCAAGGACAGGGAGGGGATGATGGGGACAGCGATATTGGGGACATTGGGGACATTGGGGACAGGGAGGGGAATGGCGACATTGGTGACAAGGACATCAGGGACAAAAACGGGGACATTGGGGACAAAGAACCCAAACTTGTCCCACGGGGAACTTTGGGACCGGGGACATCGGAGTGGGGGGACACTGGGGGGGGAGGTTGGGGACAGACAGGGGTGGCCTCAGCTTTGTCCCCACAGGTACCTGGACACCGTGGATGCCAC